CCTGACTATGTTGTATGACTAAGTGTTATGTTCATTGTTTATGTAGTTATATAAATATTGATGTTGAAGACAATAAAAGCTAAAAACCGAATTAATGGTCTGGAGTGAATGGTGCAATGAGTCGGATAGAGCTCTTCGTCATTAAAACTGGGGAATACCTGGTGCCAGGGGGCGTTGCCCAAAGAGCTTATCTGACTCAATCCAATCACGAGAGGATAAGGTCAACCCATTCTGGATATTCCTCCCCCCACTATGAGAAGAGGCATATCAGGTAAGTACCAACACCCTTTCTCTTTATAAACAGCAGTTTACATTCTGACAGAGACATATATTATCCTTGAATTTTGAGAGTCATGTAGCTTGAAAATCATATTCCAATTTGAAATGTTACCTTATGTCTCCATGTTCAGAGGAACTTCTGTTTTTTTCTTGATAACTTTTCTTGGAAGAAAAATTTTGGCTGGTATACCATTGCATAAAACTGAGAACCAAGATATTTAAATTTCTTAACTCTTATTTTCTAGATGAGCACAAAGATGTACAAAAGAAAACCTTTACCAAGTGGATAAACACTCGCTTTTTGAAGGTAAGAATGGCTCACAGTGGCTATTTTTTAATCTCTTTTCTTCTAGATGTATTGAACTTCCATGCAAGAGCATCAAGTCGAAAAAGGCTAGCTTAAGTTATGTTCAGTAAAACATAGCATCTTCAGTTATGTGTTGGATTATATAGTATGTTCCAATTCTAGATCCCCAACAATATTTGTTTTGCTCTCTCCCTCTTTCTCCATTAGGTCCTTCATATTAGCTGTAACCTAATAGTGCTTATCACCCTTTAAAACGGCCATTTTCTTTGCCACTAAGTTCCTTCTTTCCATCCTCAGCTCAAGTTTGCAGGATTTGGTTAATGCATAACTTTTTGAAATACCTTTTGTTATAAAGGACCCAGTAATAGACTGCGTACATTATATGTTTCTTGAAAGCTGACTGTGTTGGCAGAACCTTCTCCAGAGATTCTGACATTTCTGGAAACAAATGTTTGATTCATTGTCTTTTAAAAGCCGCATGCAGAAATTCTACAGTCCTTTTCAGAGCAGTATGGCATTGTCAGCAGTGTTGTTGGGATTCCAGCCAATGTCAGAATTGCAACCCCAAAGTAAATCTTTTGCTTTTTCCAGCAATGAACAAAGTTATTTCATATCCAGTGATGTGGGTATGGGTGCTCAGTATGATGACCTTTTGCCTAATGGAAGAGCTCAATTAAATGCAACATTCGGTAACTTGTATAGGATGTTCCAGTGTAGATTTGGCTGCATCTATATGCATTGATCTTATAGTGTACCTCTACTACAGGGGTGTCAAACTCGATTTCATTGAGGACCACATAAGGGTTTTGTTTGATATCGGAGGGCCAAGGTAGGAAAGGCCAGGAGTGGCCATGGTGGACATGACATGGGACATGTCAGGGGCACCTGTGACATCCCTGAGACCCTCCCTCACTCTCATTATAATCTTCCTTCCTTCCTTCCTTCCTTCCTTCCTTCCTTCCTTCCTTCCTTCCATC